TGCCTTCATAAACGATTTTGTATTGCATTGCTATTGCAAACATGTATATAGAGTGCTTTTAGCAAGGCTGAATCAAAATTCAATGTAGATTTCAACTAATCCTAGTAATTTCTCATGTAATCCTTATTGACTCAGCTTGGGGAGAACCCCATGAACAACATTGTCATAGTTAATATCTATAAAAAAGTTCACTTCATTTGATTTCGTGGGGCTTGAGAGAATGAGGACACCTCCTTCGAAAAGGTTCATAAACTACAATATGTATAGCGAGAGCGAAAATAGTGAGACACGTGAATGTTCTCAATAAAATGTGAGTAAAAGTGAGATGGATCGAAAAAAGTGAGACGCCAGCATCTCTGTAATATACGAACAAGTGTTTAAGTCAATCCACTTATCATTAGTAGGCCTGCATAAAGAAACCTTATACTGCAACACCGCATAACTTTCATTTAATAATTAAAATGTAATTAAAAAACAAAATAAACGACAAAAAGTAACAAGTTTTATTTTTGCAACTAAATAACCAAGAATGATTATCATAATTAAATCATGTAAGGAAAAGTTGTTTTAATTTTTTGGTGTTTAAAAGGCCGCGCAGTATAGAATAAGAAAATAACAAGGTTACAAGTCTTTAACGTCGCATGCCCCTTTCTTCAACAACCTGTCTGGAGGAGTATTCTTAATACTTTCAGTTTGATTGTGTCATGTGTGTAGAGATGAGTGGAACATAATATTATTAGTTTCTCTTTGTCAAAAAATGATTTTTTTGCGTATTTTTTATATATTTTTTCTTCAATCGTATGTGGATATTCCACTTTTATGTAAGAATTGGCGGATGACAACTTTTTTCTTATCACTCTCCCTCTTCGAAAAATCTTTGCTTTTCTTGAATAATGATAGATTTTTCGAAGAGAAAAATTGATAAGAATAAAAGTAATCACTCGGTCAATTATAATATAAAAGTGGAATTGCGACTACAATTTCAGAGGTTTCAGGTTCTTTTTAGGGTCGATTAGAAATTAACTATATCTTGATAAACTGAATTATTACAACGTTTTTCTTATTTAAAATAATTTTATGACAGTTTTTAAAAATATTGAATTTTATTTTTATAGCAAAACACTTATCTTGTTCTAAGAATTCTATGGTGGAAAATCATACTCTACCTCTCATTGCCAAAATGTAATTCATGTTTCTACTCGACAATAGAGGACGTGCGGTATGGTTAACGCAGGGATGGCCACCGAGTATTATTTGTAATTTTTATGGTACAATTGACGGTAAAGCTTTCACCTGAACCGCACTGCTAAAATTTCTAAAATATTATTGGCTTATTGTTTTGAAACCTTCTCTTTGTTCTGAATGAGCTGTTGTACTTTGCTTTTGTGATATTTTAATTAATTAAATATCTCTAAATTATTTTATAACCGTTTGTTTAGTGCAACTTTATGACCCTAAAGTACATCTGAACCTTTCTCAAAATTACGTCACATTTATGCTTTTGAACGAAAATTATTCGTTATAGAGTTGTTGTTGTGTTTTTCGGGTAACACAATGTTTAACTAGTTTATATGGATGATATGTGGGCCTTGCACATCCCGTTGTACATGAACTTCATTTTTTATAATTTCCGTCGACCTTGTGTACGAGAACTGAACGTGACTTGGTGCTTTTTCCTGTGCTCGGGTGTAGCAGTTCAGCCGTCGTTCAGCCTACGTTAGTGAAACAATTTCACACCCAGTGCTGGATTTGCCGGGTTGTGGGAAAGTTTGATAGAAATCGGCCTCCATTCGTGAATTTGGTTGTCCGGGCCCTTTTCTCACCCTCTTGGGGATTTCTAAACCATCGAGCTGAGGGGAACTGTCTGCATTAATACTCCGAAACGATCTCTACGTAGGACTCACGTTTGTTAGGAGCAGTCCCCCATTTCTATGAACCCTCATTGTTCGAGGGTTCTGCCTTCGGGTTCTGATTTACATCTGGGTCTTCCTACACTTGGTTACCTTTGTTCCGGAGCTTCCATTTGGGTAGCCTTTCCTTTAAGAGGCTCCATGGTAGCTATCCCTCCTCTTGTGTGGGAATCCATCCCACCATTCTGTAATAGCCAAGCATCTACCAAGGTGACTGGGGCGTAGTACTAACTAATTTCCTTTTGCTTGTCTCCCAGGACTTCTTTTAAATTTTTTTGTTCGATAAATGTTCGTGTGTCTTGTGAATTTGTGTTTCCTTTAGCTCCAGAGAAAGGCACTACTTGTTTATTTATTTTTTCTAGTTGCGCCCAAACCGCAACCATTTGTATCGACCAAAGTACAGAGAACGACACTCTGAGGTCTCGTTCTCTACTTCTACTGAGCACAGTGTTAGTTATATTTTTTCTCCAAATAATAACTATATATAGCCCGGATAACCTGTATTAATATTTGTGAACAAGTTACGATTTTGACAAAAAAATGTATAACATTGTTTCTATACACCACAAAATAATCAGATGAAAAGGATTTAAAATACTGCTCCAAACAGGCAGTTGAAAAAAGGGACATGCGACCTAAACAAAAAAATAAAAAGGAAAGCCACCCTGCAGCGTGACCCAAAGTTCTGGCTCGGAATTTTCTCTATTTTTGGAAAAGATCAAGGTCAGATCTTCAGTAACTTTCAGCAAGACATTCAACGGTAACCTTGAATTTGACCTTGACCTTCACCTTCAAGGTTAATTCATAGTCAACTAACCTTGAATTTGACCTTGACCTTCAAGGTTAATTCATAGTCAACTTTATTCCTTCAAATATAAACCCATATTTCTGATACCAACAAGCAAAAAAACTTGAAGTCCGAGGTCAGGATAACTATTAAAGGTAAATGAAGATCAGATGTGTGCTGATAAAAAAACCTCTATAAATCCCACAGGATGAGTAATGAAAACAACTACCAAGGTCAGGACTTTGAATGAACGGTGGTCTTGGATTTGACCTTGAACAAAGGTCATTTCAAGGTCAACTTAATTTTTCAATGAAAACTCCTGTTTTGATGCCAGCAATAGAAAGAACGAAAATGTTTACATTCAGATACGAAATGAAGACCAAGGTCATAGTGACCAATCAAGGACAAATGTGTGCCGCTAGGAAAACCAGTATGAATCTTACGGGATGAAAATAACTATCGAGGTCAGTTCTTCCGTAAATTTTCACGAGTGATCTTGGTCTTGACCTTGAACCGCACCTTCAAGGTAATGTCGAGGAAATATTTTCATAGTTCCTCGTTAAAACTTGCCCAAAATCAAGAATCTAAAGGTCAAATTTGTGCCGCTAGGATTATCGAGCCAGTACGGTGCTCTTGGATGTGACCTTGATTCTCAACTTCAAGGTCAACTTCATGTTTTTAATGGAAATCTCTATTTTTGATACCTTCAATCAAAAGAACGGAGCATTTTACGTTCAAATACGAATTGAACTCCGCGGGCAGGGTGCCATCTAAAGGTCAAATGTGTGCTGTTAGAAAAACCTCTAATCTCACAGGATGAGTGATAAAAACAACTATCAAGGTCAGGACATTGGTAAATTTTTACGAGGGAATGAACGGTGATCTTGGATTTGACCTGTATCCTAACCTTCAAGGTCATATCAAGGTCAACCTCATTTTTTAATGGAAACTCCTATTTTTGATTCCTGTAACTGAAAGAACAAAAATTTTTAGATTCAAATACGAAATGAAAACCAAAGTCATGGTGTGCTGCTATGAAAACCAGTATGAATCTTACGGGATTAGTGATGAAAATAACTATTAAGGTCAGTTCTTTAGTAAATGTTGACGAGTGATATTGGATTTGACCTTGAACCTCACCTTTAAGGTCATTTCAAGGGCATATTTTTTCAAATAGGGACAGTGTTGGCTAAAAATCATTCGTAACGTAGCTCCCTCGTTAAAACTTGCCCAGAGTCAACCTAATTTTTTTAGGAAAATCCCTATTTTTGATGCCGGCAATCGGATGAGCGGGAAATCTGGAAAATTTACATTCGAATATGTATTAAAATTCAAGATGAAGATGACCGCTGGAGGTCAAATAGGTTATATACAGGTCAAATATACGCTACTAGGAGAACCTCTAGAAATCTCGCAGAAATTGTGACGAAAATAACTGATCAGGTCTTTGATAAATTTTGACAAGTAGCGTTGATATTAGATTTGACCTTAACCTTACTTTGAAGGTAATTTCAAGTTAACTCTATTTTTACCGAATAGAAACGTCTATTTGGTGCTGACGATTCAGAGAGCCGGAAATCTTAAGTTCAAGTGTGTATTAGAACTAGAGGTCACATAAAGGCAAAATGTGTGCTGCAAGGAAAACTCCTAGAAATCTCACACGAATAGTAACAAAAATTACTGGCAAGATCTGATCTTTGTGTAAGTTTTAACGAGGGAACTATGATGCTCGTTACAAATGATTATTTACCGATACTGTTCCTGCGGGTTTCTATTTGAAAAAAATGATCTTGAAGGTAAAGTTTAAGGTCAAATCCAAGGTCGTTCGTTAAAATGTACTACAGACCTGACCTTGATAGTTATTTTTATTAGTAATCCTATGAGATTTATAGAGGCTTCCCTAGCAGTACTCATTTGATCTTCATCTGACCTTTAGTAGTCATCCTGACCTTGGACTTTATTGCATTAAAAGTTGACCGTAAAATAACATTAAAGTGAAGGTCTAATTCAAGGTCACCGTTGAATTCCTTGCTGAAAGTTAATGAAGACCTGACCTTGAACTTTTCCAAAAATACCTTACCCGAGAAAATACAGAGCCGTTCTGGGACTTTTGTGCCACGCGGTATAATAGAGATAAATATACAATATGTTCGGGATAGAGTTACGTGTAAGTAAAAAAATATCTAAATTACGGAGACGAATCCCATAAAACTGATTTATTGCAATTTTTTACGTTTGAATTTGATTAGGGACGTCAAGAGCACTTGGGCAAATTCCCTACTCTGTGTAAGGTAGTAACTTACCATGAGGCCACAATCACCACACTGGCCAACAGCAGAATACATATTGGATAAGTGATGCAAAAAAGTCCCACCGTATAGTAGAAGGTGGCCACTCTCTCTGGTAGAGATTGTTTCCCTTTTGCACCCCTCTTGTGGGGCTCTCCGCCTCTGTGTTGCATCTAGGTCATAGTACCTGCGAGCTTGACACCCATCTTGTCCAGATCAACCTAAACAAAAATATCTGCACTTATGAATGTTTAAGAGACTTAGGACCATATCGTCAGTACAATTGTCGGACGCCTTTATGGCCTCCTTGATTTTCATAGCCTTTTCTCTTCTTCAGGAAGGCTGGAGTATTTCTAGATTTCTACTGTTCCGTGTCAGCGTCAGCGCTCTCCTACTGTAAGGCTATGTTTTCTTTTTGAATTATAGGAAATTTCAGGCTGAAATAAAAGATGATATATATCACACGCGTGGATAATTTGATGCAAATGGATATTTGTAATTTGCGTCCTTAAAAAAAATAAAGTTGATGCTGGATGACAAAAGATGAAACGTCACATTGGAATTCTAATTATTCTACCTTGTAGAGGAGAAAAAGTGGCTATGTTAATGTGCAATTTATTTTAGAATCCCACTATCAAGTCAGCAAAGAAATTAAAACTACTTTAGGAAAAATCGGTTTTTCTGTTTCTCTCCGGAAGTACTTTGGTTATCGAAACTTTCTAAGCTGTATTTTGTTAGTTACCTAAATACACAACTTTGCCCCCATTTAAGCGTCTCCGTATGTCTTCAGTTTCCGAGATCCCAATGGTGAGGGTCGAATTTGAAACACCCTGTATATGCGTATTTAGGTGTAAATAATAAAAAAAAGTCACGTAAGAAATAGGTGACATTTCACTCAATTTTTGTTATTGTGATAATACAAATAACAAAAAAATAGCTTTTTCTAACAAAAAAGTAGGTTGAGTCTGTATTTCATATAGAATTATGTTTGGCACAAGTTAGCTCCTCCGAGAAAAAAGTTAGCTACGATTAAAAAAATCAAATAGATCAAGTCAGCCAAAAGAAATTAATAAAAAAAGTGTATCTTGAAAACTCTGCATTTCCGGACCCATGTTTATAGAAAGTTTTTTTCATATTTCTTATCAAGAAATCACCCTCTAAAATATCTCCGTCTAGTTTACGAACACTCTGAATATAAATGATATCTCTGACATTTTAGGACACTGCAAAATTCAAATATATGCGGACGATACATTGATATATATATATATATATATTTTGAGACGTGGTCATTGTCGTCTAGACCAGTTAGGTGAAAAATTAAAGCTTCCGCTTTTTGTTGGGTACTTCGACAAGATTTAAGCAAAGAGGACTCTTTATACTTTTTTAATTCTCTCTAGCTTTCAATGGACTTTGCCATCATCATCAGGAGCTGCAATTACAATGATAACAGTAGCAACAAAGGTGTAAAATGAATTTAAATTGACTCAACTTACAGTAGTATGTGAGAATGTTGCTAATTGTTGTTTACGCATATGATGAGGGAAACGTCCAGTAACATGGTGAGAGCTGAATAGGTTGCACAATAGTCAAAATTTATACAAAACATGACAAGAACACGTTAAAACAGATTAAAAATTATTTTAAAAATTAGAACATTACATCGTGAAACCACCTGATGATTGCACAAATTAGTGGTCATGGAATGATGAATTGATGAGTGACATGAAACCCTTTGACAGAAGGCCGAAGGATGTCAATGTCAGTATTGAAAGATGGAACGAATTGTGGGCGTGTGCCAAAAACGTTGCCAAATCACTTCAGATGAAGAGATTTACAGAATTTTATGATGGAATTTGTTAAACCGACCAGAGGCAGTTGAATAAACTATATTATTATTAATGGGAATTTAAATTAACAATTATTAATAAATCGTGAGGAGAGAATTATTGTATTTTGAGTGGAATGAAATTTACTGGTGGAAACGGACAAAACACAGATTCTAATTATGGTTGTGAAGAGTTGAAATTTGGGGAGATATGTAAGTTCTCCAATTTTTCGCAGTTTAGCAGATATGAGTAAATGACACTCAGTTGTTTAACATCTGTCTTTTTGTTGATACAGTTGTTATTCATGAAAATGTGGGACATTTCCAGGAATAAACGTTTGGAAAGGTGTTTTTCTTTATCAAGAACTTTGATACTTGTGTAATTCATAGAATGCCCTGTTGTGTTAACATGAGATGCTAGAGCGCATCTTTCAGGATGAAGCCTAGCATCACTTTTGTGTGATGTAATCCTTCCTTTAAGAGATCTGGAGGTCTGACCTATGTATATTTGGTTGCAGTTGTTGCAATTGATGGAGTAGACTGTGTTGGTTAAGCCAAGCAGCGGGACTTTGTCTTTCATTTTTGAAAAATGCAGTTTATAGTGAGGACGGATTTGCAAGCAATTCGAAAGTTCAAAGGACTGCACAATCTGATAAGCTTAGGGGTCAGTTCCTTGATGTAGGGCAGGACAGCAAAACCAGGTCTGGAGTCCGGGTTGGTGCTAGTACTGTTAGGATTGATGTTATTATTGGGAATTACATCAGTTCCGTTATTGGGGGTTGTGCGACTATTACCTGCATCACCAGAGTTCGGCAAAATATTGGAAGGTGAACTAAAAATGATCTTGTTAATCAGACACTTCGGATAACCATTATTGATGAACAGTTTTGATAGTTTACGTAAATTTGAGGTGTGGAAGGTATTATCTGAGATGCTGATTACCCTTGTTTTCATCTGTTTTACCAAATTGATTTTAATCCCTAGTTTATGGTATGACCTAAAATTGAGAAACCGACCTGAGGCCATAGGTTTCTGGTACCAGTCTACCAATAAACTGTTGTTGTTGGTGCGAATGAGTCTTGTGTCTAGAAAGGGGACAGACAGGTTCTCATCTTCTTTTTCAATGGTAAATTGGATGTAGGGGTCATAGCTGTTGAATTCTCTGACAATACCATCCAGACCTATGGAAGGGAGGCATAAAATAATGTCATCTACGTATTTTTTTATGAAGAAGAGGTTATAGGGTAGTGTCGGAATAACTGTATCAAGCAGATCATCCATGACATATTCCGCCAAAATTGGTGACAGGACAGATCCCGTAGGACAACCATGTGTTTGAGAATATATTTTGTTGTTGAAAGAGAAATAATTGTTATGAAAAAGGAATGTTATAATGTTGGTGAAAGATTCTAGAGATATGTTGCAGTGTTGACTTATCTCATTCCAGTGTTTATTAATAGTTCTTGTACATGCATCCAGATAGATGTTGCTGAATAGCGACACCACATCAAGACTGGCGATAATATGATCGGCTGGTATTGTCAATCTATTGAACTGACGAGAGACCTCAAATGAGTCTTTGATGTAGTAATCATTGTCTGCATGTGCTGATTTTAGTGTTGTCGATATTAATGAAGACAAAGCCTGGGTGGCTGAACCTATTGATGCAACTATAGGTCTTACTGAGAGTACAGGTTTGTGAATTTTCGGAAGTGCAAAAATTTTATGCACTTCCGAAAATTCACAAACCTGTACTCTCAGTAAGACCTATAGTTGCATCAATAGGTTCAGCCACCCAGGCTTTGTCTTCATTAATATCGACAACACTAAAATCAGCACATGCAGACAATGATTACTACATCAAAGACTCATTTGAGGTCTCTCGTCAGTTCAATAGATTGACAATACCAGCCGATCATATTATCGCCAGTCTTGATGTGGTGTCGCTATTCAGCAACATCTATCTGGATGCATGTACAAGAACTATTAATAAACACTGGAATGAGATAAGTCAACACTGCAACATATCTCTAGAATCTTTCACCAACATTATAACATTCCTTTTTCATAACAATTATTTCTCTTTCAACAACAAAATATATTCTCAAACACATGGTTGTCCTATGGGATCTGTCCTGTCACCAATTTTGGCGGAATATGTCATGGATGATCTGCTTGATACAGTTATTCCGACACTACCCTATAACCTCTTCTTCATAAAAAAATACGTAGATGACATTATTTTATGCCTCCCTTCCATAGGTCTGGATGGTATTGTCAGAGAATTCAACAGCTATGACCCCTACATCCAATTTACCATTGAAAAAGAAGATGAGAACCTGTCTGTCCCCTTTCTAGACACAAGACTCATTCGCACCAACAACAACAGTTTATTGGTAGACTGGTACCAGAAACCTATGGCCTCAGGTCGGTTTCTCAATTTTAGGTCATACCATAAACTAGGGATTAAAATCAATTTGGTAAAACAGATGAAAACAAGGGTAATCAGCATCTCAGATAATACCTTCCACACCTCAAATTTACGTAAACTATCAAAACTGTTCATCAATAATGGTTATCCGAAGTGTCTGATTAACAAGATCATTTTTAGTTCACCTTCCAATATTTTGCCGAACTCTGGTGATGCAGGTAATAGTCGCACAACCCCCAATAACGGAACTGATGTAATTCCCAATAATAACATCAATCCTAACAGTACTAGCACCAACCCGGACTCCAGACCTGGTTTTGCTGTCCTGCCCTACATCAAGGAACTGACCCCTAAGCTTATCAGATTGTGCAGTCCTTTGAACTTTCGAATTGCTTGCAAATCCGTCCTCACTATAAACTGCATTTTTTCAAAAATGAAAGACAAAGTCCCGCTGCTTGGCTTAACCAACACAGTCTACTCCATCAATTGCAACAACTGCAACCAAATATACATAGGTCAGACCTCCAGATCTCTTAAAGGAAGGATTACATCACACAAAAGTGATGCTAGGCTTCATCCTGAAAGATGCGCTCTAGCATCTCATGTTAACACAACAGGGCATTCTATGAATTACACAAGTATCAAAGTTCTTGATAAAGAAAAACACCTTTCCAAACGTTTATTCCTGGAAATGTCCCACATTTTCATGAATAACAACTGTATCAACAAAAAGACAGATGTTAAACAACTGAGTGTCATTTACTCATATCTGCTAAACTGCGAAAAATTGGAGAACTTACATATCTCCCCAAATTTCAACTCTTCACAACCATAATTAGAATCTGTGTTTTGTCCGTTTCCACCAGTAAATTTCATTCCACTCAAAATACAATAATTCTCTCCTCACGATTTATTAATAATTGTTAATTTAAATTCCCATTAATAATAATATAGTTTATTCA